TCTCCTGGGCTATATCACCAAGTCCTTGACTGCCCAGACATTGGAGGGCTGTAGTACCTAACTGATCTTTCAGTTGTTAATTGTCATTAATTCAGACTTTGCATTTCAGACTTCCTCCGCTGCCTTTCCTGACTTTGCATCCTTCCAGTGGCGCTTCTGCATGAACTGCTGCTAAGAGTTATTCTCCCTTCATTAGACTGTGGTTTCTAGCGTTCCCACCCTTACTAAGGTCACCAGCCCAGTGCCAGGGTAGGACCCGTTAGGTTCTACAGTGTTTCTGAACAAGGTTGTGCTTTCTAAAAGAGCAATATAAGGAGACGGCTCCCCCTTCCCCATCAAGGCCAGCATCTCATGTATATGCAAAGTCCTAACTGGCTTTGCTAACTGAGGCCTTGGTGCAGCAGAATGAGTCACCTGGTTGGTTGTCAGTGCAGAAACCAATGTAGGGGGGACTTTATTCAGTTAAGAGGATCTTCACTGGAACAGGGCATATAGGAGTCACGTTTTTGCTATCTGCACAGCCAGACAGTTAGGACATCATGCCTCACTCCTTATCAGTACACACACATTTACAGCCCCAGCTGACAGCTGTTCAGCAAACTGCTGTGCAGCTTCTAGCATATAACGAGACAGTCTGCTGGCTGATTCTGTGCAGGAGATGGGCGTAGCTATTCCAAGAAGAAAACTCATCCTATCAACATACTTGCTCTTCTAAGTAGGAGGCCAGGTAGAGAATAAAGTTAGTGGAGCTGCAAGTCCACAGCAAAGATCCCACTGAGTGTTAGGCTCCAGGGTAAGGCTAACACTCATATACTATTAGACCCTGTAAGTAAAAACTAAAATGGTCTTAGAAAGGGAATTCACTTGATATCAGGTATATTGAGCTGGGATAGGATGGCACTTTCCATTGCAGACTTTTCTTTTTATGCTGTTTTGGAACACGACTGGTAAATTTCTATGCAGGACAAGACTGCAAGACTGAATGCTTCATGGGTTATTAACCTAGGTTCAACATTTTTGGATCTCCACCACAGGAATGTGTCCTGTGAGCTGACAAGCCTTCTGAAGAAAATGCAGTCCTATGTCTTCCCTTCCTGTGTCCTCCAAAGCTCTTCGCGCTGAGGTTTTGGAGCTGTGCTTCTTGCTTACAAATTCTGCCTCTTCATTTTCCTTTCTGGGGAAATGATCTTCACTTGAAGCACCTGCCTAGGTGTTTCACATCAACAACAGAGAAAGCAACTTCTACAAATCCTTTTCTTACCCCCAAATACATCACTGTAAAGTGGGCTCTGGGGTGTCAGATGCCTTCCAAGTCAGTCCCGCATAGATAGCCATCTGTGTGCAAGGCCTCCGGACTGTCTCCCTCGTCTTCAGTTTACAGTTTGCATCATGCAATGCTGATCTCTTTTGCACTCTTGCACCGGTGTTTCTTCTTTCCACATGCCTGGGAGGTGCACAGGTAGCTGGAGCAAAGGGCTCCCTTGGGGGTAAAAGGAGGGCCCAGAAAGCCCCCCCTGTGAGTGCCTGCTGGCCTGGGATTGCACAGGGGAGGTGTGTTACCTGAGATACCAGGATCCTTGCTGGTGCCTCTCCGACTGGTAGCCTAACAGGAAAGCCGTGGAGTGAAACCCATGGTGAACTCTCCTGGAAAGGCTGCTAAGTCGCCAGTGAGAAGTGACTGCACACAGCAGCCAGCTCATACAGCCACCTGGGACCTCCGTACACTAGTTCTGCCCATTTTCTCCAATGCTCTCCTTCACTTAGTTTCTTCATAGCTTCTCTGCACTCCTTTGCCTGCCTCAGGGCTGTGAGTCTCCTTCTCTTCTGTTTCTCAGCCCATCACGTGCTATTTGTTGCCCCCATCTGTTGCACTTCTCCTCCCCAGCCTGCCTCTGCCTGGTTTACTTAGAGCAAATGTCCTGAACTGTCAGTTCTTGTTTACAGACAGCCCACTGAAGGGCAACCCCATCTGTTGGGGCTGATATGGATGTAATAATGCCGTAATGCTGTATGGAGGCAGCAAGGACAATGTTGCACGTTTCTTGGGGGGTACTGGCCAAACATCCTTCTAGAGGGGTGCCTTACTTGGCCAAAAGTGCAGAAACCCATTAACATGACATGGGTTGATGTAGTCCAGGCACTCCCTATTTCCTAGACAACTGGTAAAGCTGTATGTAGCGGGACGTTCTTAATGAGCAACCAGGAGGGATTAGAGAGCCTGGAGCTGTTTGTGCAAAGTGTTTGGACTTAAATCTGATCCCATGTTGCACTTTCTAAAACTCTTAGCAGCCTCCTGGTGTGGTAGGTTTTTGCAGCCTAGGAAGCAGGCTGCTCGATATGGGAATCCTACTCCTAAACCAAGGTTCTCCTGCTGTTTCTGGCTGAGGGAATAGGTGACTTCTGACAGCTTAAGGTGCTGCCAGCAGGGGAAGCTTGTGCGTTGTTCCCCTGAGAAGGGGAACATCGTGAGTATGTGGATCAGTAGGATGTCCTCTGAAGGAAAAGGAAACAAGCTGCTGGCAAACATGACACTGTGTTTGATGGATCATTGATTTGATGGACCACGGCAAGTCCTAAACAGGGGATGCAGTCAGCAATGCCCACTTTCAGGCAGAAGCTGATTGAATCCTCCTTTCCCTGAGCCGATCCTCACAAGTCTTTTCACTGCCAGCAGCATTTGTACAAAGAGCTTCCACAGCTCCAGACCCTTCTCCTTTTTTCTTCTGCTAAACTGTACTTCTAGCAAACAATGTTACTACTTTTTTTTCCCTTATTCCAAACACTATCTTTCACAACCATAAACAACATTAACGCCCCACGCAATCTTGAAGAACAAAGGCTTTGAGATAAGATTAGCTTGCCACGGAGATGTTTATAAGACTTTTTTTCTCCCCTTCCCTCCTGCTTACGAATTTCACCCCTTGGCAGGCAGGTTGGGGATTGTTATGTAACAGCTTAGCTACATATAATTAGAGGGCACAAAATTATATAGGAAGCAGGCATATTACCCAGTGTAGATACTACAAGCTTACCTGAGTTTGAAAAGCATGTGGGTGAGTTTGTGGAAGAGAAAAACATTACTGACAAGTGACTGTAAATATAGGGAATGTGAAGATACCATGTCTGGTTCAGAAGGCCCTTCAGCTGTAGATCACAGAGGTCTGTGAGAGTATCGTGGGGAAAGAGCTGCTGTTAGAGACAACAGAAATGGACTAGGATGATCTTTGCTTGATTTGCTGTGGTTGCTTTTACATTCTTAGTTCAGTTCACTGACTGATGAGCAATACCTGCCTAACCACAGCAAGGAGCAGATGAGGACCTCACAGAGCTTTTCAAGCTAACCACTCTTTATAAATATGCTGTTTTTCAGGGCCATTTATTATAAGCAGAACACTGAGGCATAAGGAAGCTAAGTGCAGTTGGTTGGACCCATTTGATTGTTACTCATACAATGGAGTCGTTCTTGTGTGGTGTTGAGCTTATCTGTTTTAAAAATGTTTAGTGCTTGAGTATTTTTACCCTCAAACGCTCTGAGCAGTACTTTACTTAACTTTCTGTTTGAAGGTGCTCCTGAAGGCAAACCAACCTCCTCCTCCTTTGACCTAGATTTCACACTTAAACGTCTCTTTTTGAAACGTTACCGATCTTTTCTGAAGTTTGTTGTGTTTCACAGTGTTTTGCAGATTATAGTCTTTCCATCTCGCCTAACTTCTGTCCATAAACAGGTCTTAAACTGTTCACAGTGGGGAAGAGGGGAGATAAAACACCTTCCCTTTTTTGTCTTCCTCCATGTAGAAAGGCAAATGTCTAATACTTTACTCCTGAAGTCTTGCCATTAACTATCACAGAAGAGAGCTACCGTGGGCTTAGAGGACTTTCCTCTTCTATCTTCTTCACGATGGAGCTCCTGATTTTTATTTTTTTGGGAACAGTCAAAAGCGTTTCTGGCATTTTAACTCTGATAAATGAACCTGCTTTTGAACCTCTGTATGAATGCCTTCTTGGAGGTAGAAGAATTTTCCGTCCGTACGCTGACCATTCAGCAGTCTTACTCCCAGGTAATCCTGCAGAGCTCACCATTTTGCCATGCCGTCTTCAACAGCTGTTTCATCGAAAGCTCTTCTTTGGCAAAACGGGCCGGTTGCTGGTCTTTCTTCTCACCCGGCGGGATCACCGCCAGCACTCATCCTGCCGAAGGAGTCGAGCGACGGCCCACCCCGTCCCCAAGAGAAGTTTCTCCGCCATACCTCCAGTTAGCCCTGCTCCTTTCACAGCCAGGCTTCGAGACGTTCTCACCTTGCGGCCCAGACGCTCTGCGGTCAGAAACAGTCGGGTTTTTTCGGTGGCTTTTGCGAAGGGGCTGCCCTTCCCCGCCGACCCCTCGGCGACACCGACCCCTCCGTCCGCTGGGCCCCGCTGGGGCCCGGGGCCGGCGGGCACCGACTCTCCTCACAGGCCATGACATCACGCCCGCCTGGCATCGATGTGACGTCACATCCCCAATCTCCTCCCCGACAGGCGGTGACGTGCTTTCAGCCCCGCCTTCCCCCCCCCCTCCTCCACCCCGGGGCCTCTGGGGGAGCGGCAGCCGGCGAACGGAGGAGGAGGAGGAGGAGGAAGAAGCGGCGGGGGCCGGGGGGGGCCCGCGGGGGAGCTCCACGGCCGGTGACCGAGCGGCTGAGGCGAGGGAGGGCGGGCGCTGCTCCCTGAGGGGCCGCTCGCCTGAGGCGCGGCGGGCGGGGGCCGCTTCCCCCCCCTCGGCGCCCTCCGCTCCCCGGGGGGGGGGGCGG